GAATAACTTCACTTATAATTTCTATGTGAAGTTATTCCTGTTTTGTGTAATTACTTTTATGTTATTTTTTAAGGGTTTTTTATGATATATAATTAATTAAGTTCTTCAGTAATATGTTTTGAAGTTTGTTGCGGATTTTATTCTAATTTTATGTAAGACAAGATAGTTTCTTATATCTTCGAAATTATTTTGGAATATATGGAAAGTTCACCACTAATTCGTAATTACTTTGAATATCAATTAAAACTTTAATTAATTTTTCTGGAGTTATAGGCTCTTTTGCTGAAATATCTCTATTAGATATCAATCTTGTGATATTAACACATGTTTTTGCATCAAAAAGGCAGGCTTAAAAAAAAAGAGAAAAAAATCTCACCACAATGATTCAGATTCGGAAAAAATGTTCAAAAATTCCTTGTGCACAATATTTTTCCGACACATTAGAAAATTGAAAGTTTTTGTTAATTTCTCTTGATTTGAATCTTTTAACATCTTCTACATAATGTTTTTGTTCATTGCTCAAAAAATCAGTCCTTAATATAAAGGATAAACATGTTTTTTTACCATAAGTTTGTAAAAGTGTATCATAAAATATTGTGCATGATCAAATTTTGTATGAAAATTTATGTAAACTTTGATCGCAAATATCTCGAAAACGGCATCAAACGGCATGTCCTCAGTAATATTGGAGATAGATTTAAGCTTAATTAATTGATTTATATAGGTTTCAGAGAGGTCTTTGGAAGACTTTTAACTTATGAATAGTTTAAGTTTTGTAAAAATACTCAGATTTCAATTCATTTTTAAGGCTTAATAAGCAGATTTCTATTGAGTTTGTTGTTTTAATATGTAAAGCTAAGCTTAAATTAGCTAGCAACTGCTTTCAAGACATCCAAATAACAACTTAAAGTAGAAAAAATCATATTTTTTTTTCATATACAAAATGTAAACAAATTTTTGTTGAAAATAAATTAAAGATTTCTGGAGTTAGACATCAAATTGAAACGAGATATTTTCACTGAATAAGCCTTAAGTTAAGATCTTAAATCTGGCATTTAAAAGATGTAGTTTAATTAATATGTCATTTTTGAATTTTTGAACATTTTTTCCGAATCTGAATCATTGAGCTCACGAGATTTGAAAACTCGCGAGATTTCAAATCAAGTTTTCTCTGAGAAAATTTTTCTCACGAGTTTTTTGGTGAGATTTCGAACACTAGATTTTACTTCTTTTGGTGCAAGCTATCCTTCTAATGGATTGAAAAAATGTATATTTTATCATTTCACCTGCTTCTAGTTTAATTAAACAAGGTAAAATTAGCTAATTGTGTAACTTTTTGAATTTTAATTTTGTATGGAAGCGCTCTTATGTTACCAATTGACACTGTTGACAAAAGTTTTGTTAATTTTAGCTATTAAATTCTCATCTAAAGCCTGCCTTTTTGATACAAAAACACGTGAACTTTCCATATATTCCAAAATAATTTCGAAGATATAAGAAACTATCTTGTCTTACATAAAATTAGAATAAAATCCGCAACAAACTTCAAAACATATTACTGAAGAACTTAATTAATTATATATCATAAAAAACCCTTAAAAAATAACATAAAAGTAATTACACAAAACAGGAATAACTTCACATAGAAATTATAAGCGAAGTTATTCCTGCATCAAGACGGAATAATGTCGATGAACAAAAATTTGTGAAATTATTACGACGTGGCGCAGGAATAATTTCACTTGGCACATATAAGTGAAGTTATTCCCACATCGTGCAAGAATAACTTCACCTACATTTTTTAGGTGAAGTTATTCCTGCGCCACGCCGGAATAAGTTCACTCAGGCTATATACGTGAAGTTATTACCGCTCTATGCATTTTAGATTTTCGACATTATTCCAAACTCACGATTTTCTCTACAAGTGAAGTTATTCCGCGTCGGTGTTATTACCGGGCATCTAAAATTGCATTTTAAAACATATCTAGGTATTATAAATGATAAAGAATGCTAATATAGATATAAAATTAATATTTTTTTTGAAAATAGCCTTCTATGATAGAAAACCAAAAATGCTTTAAATTGCATTTTAAAACATATCTAGGTATTATAAATGATAAAGAATGCTAATATAGATATAAAATCAATATTTTTTTTGAAAATAGCCTACTAAGATCGAAACCAAAAATGCTTTAAATTGCATTTTAAAACATATCTAGGTATTATAAATGATAAAGAATGCTAATATAGATATAAAATTGATATTTTTTTTGAAAATAGCCTTTTATGATAGAAAACCAAAAATGCTTTAAATTGCATTTTAAAACATATCTAGGTATTATAAATGATAAAGAATGCTAATATAGATATAAAATCAATATTTTTTTTGAAAATAGCCTACTAAGATCGAAACCAAAAATGCTTTAAATTGCATTTTAAAACATATCTAGGTATTATAAATGATAAAGAATGCTAATACAGATATAAAATCGATATTTTTTTTGAAAAAAGCCTACAATGATCGAAATCAAAAATGCTTTAAATTGCATTTTAAGACATATCTAGGTATTATAAATGATAAAGAATGCTAATATAGATATAAAATCAATATTTTTTTTTTGAAAATAGCCTCCTATGATCGAAACCAAAAATGCTTTAAATTGCATTTTAATACATATCTAGGTATTATAAATGATAAAGAATGCTAATATAGATATAAAATCGATATTTTTTTTTTGAAAATAGCCTACTAAGATCGAAACCAAAAATGCTTTAAATTGAATTTTAAAACATATCTAGGTAATATAAATGATAAAGAATGCTAATATAGATATAAAATCGATATTTTTTTTTGAAAATAGCCTACTATGATCGTAACCAAAAATGCTTTAAATTGAATTTTAAAACATATCTAGGTATTATAAATGATAAAGAATGCTAATACAGATATAAAATCGATATTTTTTTTGAAAAAAGCCTACAATGATCGAAATCAAAAATGCTTTAAATTGCATTTTAAAACATATCTAGGTATTATAAATGATAAAGAATGCTAATATAGATATAAAATCGATATTTTTTTTTTGAAAATAGCCTACTATGATCGTAACCAAAAATGCTTTAAATTGAATTTTAAAACATATCTAGGTATTATAAATGATAAAGAATGCTAATACAGATATAAAATCGATATTTTTTTTGAAAAAAGCCTACAATGATCGAAATCAAAAATGCTTTAAATTGCATTTTAAAACATATCTAGGTATTATAAATGATAAAGAATGCTAATATAGATATAAAATCGATATTTTTTTTTTGAAAATAGCCTACTATGATCGAAACCAAAAATGCTTTAAATTGCATTTTAAAACATATTTAGGTATTATAAATGATAAAGAATGCTTATACAGATATAGGTTTTCCAATTTTAAAACTACTGAAAATTTGAGAATTTCGAAAAATTACTTTCGATTCCCATAATTGCTTATGTTGTGTGATCAAATGGTAAAAGAATTATTTTCCGAGATTCTTATGGCTCGGCTGTGACCCGATCACCAAATTTGTAGACCAAAAAAATACGTTTTTTGACGTTTTGAAGGCATAGATGATGTCTAAATGTAAAAGTTTATGTACAAAAAAATACGGCCTACTTATACACATATTTTGGTATTCTTTGAGATTTTTGAAAATGAGTTCTTCAGGCTGTATTAAAAAAAATGTGTGTTTTTCGTGAAACTAATAACTTACAAGCTTTTGCGTGGAAGTTAATTGTAGACTTTATTAATGAGAATTCTTCGCGAATTGAAGGTTTTTAATGATATTATTGATTTTAAAACTACATATAAATGAATGAAGTGAGCAATAAAGTTTAATTAACAAATTTTCTGATTTGATTTCGATAGAATCGATCCTTTCTCTTTTAAATATCTTTCCAAAAGCTCCGCGACTTCCACGATTCCTACACATTTACTATATAAACATAATGAATTTAAATACCCTATTTTTTACCTTATAAGCCACTACTCGTTACTAAGCCAGTAGCTAGATAAAAAAATTGGATCTGAAAATTTTTCTTTTTTGTTGTTAAGCCACTACCAGTTTCCCATTAATTAAACTATTTAAAATAATTTAAAAGTGATTTAATGATTGGAATTAATATCCAGAATATTTTCAAGGTGGTTTGGACTTGAAAAATTTAAGATTTCAATGAAATTTTTTAATTTTTCTTGTTTGTTGACATTTTTTAACAAGCTTCCATCCGTTATTAAGATTTTGAAAACTTTTTTCATCCCATAAGCCACTGGCTAGTAACGTGAAAATAGGGTACTAGAATCAGAAAACCAACTGACTGGAACTGTCAATTTATTTTTTTTTTTTAATAAGAACAGAGGCCGACAAATAGCAGTTGTGATTTGGATTGAATAATTACGCGATTAAAAATGTGCGAATATTCAAGTAAAATTTCTTATCAAAATGCAATTTTTGATCAAAATTATAACAACTGGATTAAAAAATGTTTGATTTGTTAAAACTTAAGCTCACAAAAATGTACTCTTTAAGATTTTCAACAAATTTTAACTCTTCTTTTTGATATATTACAGTAAATATAGGATCTTACTAAGAATCAAAATTGTAACAGATTTGGAGGTTATAAGTCTTCAACCCTATCAATTTAATTTGATTTTTTTGACCATTTGTTATTTTATTTACAGTGCCTGCAAGCTGAAACTTCTAAAAAATGGATGTTCCATTCATTCTCTTTTTACACTTAAAACATGCATTGTATGTTGTAATATTGCTTAATTTTCTCAAAAACTGCGATGATGAAATGACCCAAAACTAAAACTAATAACTTACACGCGTGTGAGAGAAGTACAAATAGATAATATCGAATGGACATCTGAAACTTTACCAGTTTTCCGAGAGTATTCCGAGAGATCAATTAGTAATAAAACAAAATGAGAAATTTTAATAAAATAAAAAAACTTTATTAAAAAAATATCACATGGGTAATAAATAGGTAAATTAACACTAGCTTACAAATGTAGAGTTTTTTTACTTTTCAAAAAATTCATTATAAGGTGTCTTTTCAAACATATTATTTAATAAGTTTTTAAAAACTTCAGCGAATGATGTGTTGATGGGTTTCTTAAGCTCATCAAGTAAGATTCTCCAGTTGATGTTTAAGAATGCATTCATATTATCACCTAAGGCTTTGTCACCATTGAATAAGTTAGTGAAGTTTACATTAGCTCCAGTTACATCATAACTGAATTTAGAACGTTCTATGTGCATGTATATTTTTCCATCACGCTCAACTTTTGTTGTTAAAAACTTCAAGGAAATATCAAGATTTTCTAAGTTGAGTGTAACGTTTCCCTTTCCTTGAATTGGAAGTACTAATATCTTTCCGTTTATTTGATATGGTCCTTGAATTGTTCCAAGCGGTGCTTTAAATTTTATTTCCAATTTATTTTTGTCAGGATCTTCTTTAAAACCGGTTATTTTATAGACTTCAGATTTTGCCAGTCCATTTAAATTGACATTTCTAAATTTGAGATTTATAGTAACAGATGCATTTCCACCTTGTTCAATGTCCATCTTTTTAATGAGCAATGGATCAACCTCATTAAGTCCAATTTTTTTGGACATCTCATTGCTTCGGATCATTTCGTTTGCTATCTTCACTAAACATACTTCATCACTTATTTTACACTTCTTGATTTCTTGTGCTGTATATAACAAGGAATATTAATATTTAACATGATTAATATAATATTATTTACTCTAATGGATACTCGGAATTAAACAGGCACAGAATTCGAACTATTAACAAGATTTAAGAGGCGGTAAGTCTTATTATTTGAGTAGAACAGGGGGAGGATTTGGGTAAGATACATTTAGATGTTGCTGTCTGTGACTTAATTTCTCGTTTCTATAGAAGCCATTTAAAGACAAGGTTCTGGCACAATATTTTTAAAATTCACATCCAAATCCTTTCATGAATGATTACTAGTCACGAGACAAGTATAAGATCTCTGTAAAATTCAATTTTACATTTTTAAGGACCTCTTGCTGCCTTGCAAAATTTTAAATATCCGGATATCCACTAAAGTGAGAATTTATATTAATTCCTTACGAAATCCAGTCGTGATGTAAAACAGGGAGAATAGAGCGATAATATTCTTTAATTCCACCATTCTAACGATATTCACTGAAAACTATAGACTGAGAAAATTTCCATCTACACATTTCTTTTTATACATTGCAAAAAAATCTCTCAAAAAATAAACTTGTTTGCTTTATTTTAAGGTAATCGATAAATGTATTAGTTGGAATATTAATATCGTTTTTTTTAAATTATTGCTTAAATTATAATTGATAGTCTGTATAATATCTAGAATCAATAATTATTGATCTTACTTAATCTTCGTCAAATTATCGAGCAATTAAATTATATTTAAGGAAGATCTGTTGTGAATATTCAAAAACTAGATTTACTTAAAAGTACTTAAATATATAGTAAATAAGTTGTATTACGCATGTACAGTTAGGCTGCGAATAATTCGTTGTATGACATTGTAGAAAACACTGAATTGATTCTATGTGTTAACTTTTCCACTAACGATTTACTAATTGCTGGCTTTATTAAGCTAATGATTCTGTTGAAGTTTGAGTTCAAGAATCCATTGGCAAAGCTACCCAAATGAGAAAAACTGACGTCACCGCTTTATAGAAAAACAAAAAATATTTAAGTATTTACATAATAAATGAACTAATGATGTAATTACCCAGTTATATCGAAGGTCATTTCCGGTTTTTCGATCTTCATAAAAAAATTTCCGTCTCTGATCTCTTTTACAACTGGAAGCTTCATTTTTATGTCAAAGTTTTCTGTAATAAAAGTCCCAATAAAGTCAGAAGATTACTACTGAGGTTCCCTGATTTAAATTGTTTTTCTATGCGCTAAAAATACAATTAGAACTCGAAGTTGAATCGAACTTTTGGATTCAAATTTGTATCAATCTACAGAATCTAGATAATGACTCAGAATTTTCTAAACTAATTTTGTGCTTTTTTAATAATCATAAATGACATCCTAAAAAAGTTTAATTCAAACAGATGATTTTCAGGATCAAAAAGTTTCAGTCTTTAATATTAAATGTCATTAAAGAAAGACTCAATAAATTTATTACTCACTAAAGTGCAGTCTCATTTTCCCAACTCCATTTACTGGCAAAATCAGTATATTTCCATTAATATTGTAAGGTCCAGCAAGTGTAGCAAATGGCAATTTCATGTGAAGATCAATCAAATCATTTTCAAATCCAGAAAGCTTGTAAATTTCAGCTCCAGAAAATCCCAAAATATCAAAATTGTTAAGTTTTACGAGAATTTTAACAGGTCCTGAGTTCTGGTCAACTGTCATTGCGTCTATATTTAACGGATCAATTGGTTCTAAAGCTAAATCTGGATTTCCATTAGAAAAATGTTTTAAAACGTAGTTTGCAGATGCTAAGAGACAGTCATGATCATCAAATCTGCATATTTTAACGTCATTTGCTGGAAGTACATATAATTTTTAATTAGAAGCTAATCACTTATAACGTAACAATTTTATGGAGGAGAACGGGTGGAAGGTCTGGGATTTTGTGATATAAATAATATTAAAGTCATATAAATTTTGTTTTTTACGTTACGTAATAGTTAAACTTCCCCTTATGTGTTTTGAGGTGTTATAGTATAATAGAAATAATTAAAGATGTAAATTCTAGAACTTACGTAAAGAAAAGGCAGTAGTTGTAATAAAAAGCAGGAACAAGTTAATCAAAAACATTTTTAAATATTCCCTTAAAAAATTAAATCCTTAACAATTATCACTTAATAAGTTAACTAATTGAAGTGATTAAAGTAACTGATGATTTTGAAGTTAATCATCTTAGCTTTTATATCACTAAGTGGTCCTTAAAAAATTAAATGGATAATAGAGAAAAAATAATATTTTATGTGATAAATAGCCATATTTATAGGAATAATAGCAAATTGTTAAAATAAGTTTAATTAAACAATTCTTTATATGCAAAATTATTCAGCACGTGATTGATGATTGTACTGAAAACTTCACCAAAACCGTCAACAATTGTCATTTTAAGGTCTTCTAAAATTTCCTTCCAATTTTCATTGAGAAATGTATTCATGTTTAATCCAAGCTGCTCATTGCTGCCAAATAAGTCGACGAAGTTCATCCGCAATCTTCGCATCACATTTTCATACGTATGTTGTTGTTATTGTTTCAAATTATGAAGCAAACGAGAAAAGAAAAAGGGGAGAAAAAAATGCAGTTGATTTAATCAGCTAGTCATGAATGACTCACCTTGTTGTATTGAAATTCATTTTTGATTTTTCAAGCTTAAGGTGAGCATTTCCATTTTTATCGTACATTTTTGTCTTGAACTTCATAACGAAATGCACATTATCTAGCATGACAATATATGTTTTTTTGTTTTAGGACTCATACTCAACTCATTCGCAGGGTCATTCACAAATGATATCCATAAAATATTAGAATTAATTACAATCTTTACATGATTAACATTTGGACAAAATAGATGTTATTTGTAATGGCCCTAGCTTAGCATAAAATAGCAAAAAGATCATACCCAACACCAATTCTGATTCTCCTCGTCCATTAAGAGGTAAGAAAGAAATTATTCCGTTGACCTTGTAAGGTCCTTTAATCATAAGCATCGGTATCATGAACCTAAAGTCGATGAACTCTAAAGGAACTTGATCAAATCCAGTAGCTTTATAAGCCGTTGCATTTGATAGTCCAATTAAATCAATTTCACTAAAATATAGTTCAATGTTAACTCGTTGTCCAGATCCTTGCACTAGATTCAGTTTTCTAATATGTAGCGGATCAAGTGATGGCAGCAATAGTCCATGAAATCCTTTAAATCATTTTCAAAAAGCAGTTTGTCTTCAATTCAATGTTTAATTTTCTCACTATTTCAAGTCTCACCTTTATGTTTATTTTGAAAAATATCATTTACTTTTGTAAGTATGCATTCCGAATCACCGTAATTGCACTTTGTAAGCTCATTCGCTGAAAATGAATAATTATCTTAATTTAATTCTCATATTCATAAATAATAACATTAGATGTTGATTATTAAAGCAAACACTCACGAAATTTAGCACAATTAATATTCGATTGGAAGTAAGTGATAAGGCACAACAACACTATTAAGAACATTTTTTTTCTTGCTATCACAATGACTACAGAATGCAAAATAAAAAGTGTTGAAGTCTTGACCACTGTCTTTATATAGAATCCAATGACACATAAATATACAGTATGTACCCTTGAGAATCCAAGAATCTAAAGAAAAAAAGAACTCTCTCAAGCTCAAGGACAACCGGAATTCTTACTCAATCTATGTACATTGACTGTAAACAGTAATAATGTAAGGTGTTTCACTTTCATTGCTGTGTAAATGCTTCACACATTTTTTCTCTCTTCATACTCGTGCTTCACATGCTTATGCACATTTCTTTATTTATTTACATTTTGTTGTGCATGAATGAAGGAGATGCCGATATACTTCATAAATGTTGCATGATGCTCTGACTTTCCTTGAACTTGAACAATAGTTGATACAGTTGTTTTTTTATGGCTTATGAAATATGTCTTAAAAATTAAAATTTTTATGCATTACCTACTTATTTCCTACTTAACGAGCATTCAAGCTGTAATGATGATAATTGTACAATTTTGATGGCATTTTTGATCAAATGTCACAACCAATTTTTAATTTTTTAATTACAGTTGTTTCGTGTCGTTCATAAATGACAAATAAATTTGGTAATAAGGCAGACCTGAAATAAATAGAATCTAACACAAATGAAGGATATCCACTATTTATAGTTTTCTAAATGTTTCCGAGTTTTATTAAAATACTTTGAATTTAATAAAGAGCATTTTATTCAAGGAACAAATCAGTGTATGGAACTGAAGCGAAAAAATTCGTTACAATATCTATAAGAACCTTCCCGAGAGCCTCACTAATTGCTGGTTTAAGCTCTTGAAAAATAATTTCCCAATTTTCGTTTATAAAATTATTCATATTGTCTCCTAAAGCTTTATTGCCTGAAAAATATAAAATAGTTAATTGATTAGTAAGTCTTAAGACATCCAATAAAATAAAGAACTTACCATTAAACAAATTCTCGAGATTAAGAGACAGTTTTGATGTGCTAAGAAGGGATTTATGTTTTCCAATTTTTGTATACGTCTTTCCATCTTTGACAAAAGGTTCCATCTTAAATTTGACTTTGACGTCAGCATTATCTGTAATGAAGATGTGTAAAGCTTAGCTGGAATTTCTCAAGAATTGTATACAATTAGCACTTAATTAAAATTTATAGATCCGCTTATTAATTTTTTCAGTATGGTTAACTAAGGTATGATAGTTATATGCTCATTTAAATATTTTACGTATTAAGATGTAAATATACAATAGTTATCGGTAACACGAAACAATGTAAGCATGCTTCTAGGAAAGTACAAAAGAGGAGTGTTTTAGAACTTTCTACATACCCATAAAAATTAGCAAGTCAATTGATTCAATGTAATTTTTGAGTAAAATCAAATTAGGAATCATATTGTGGAATAGTAACTGACTTACTTATTGTGGTAAAAGTGGATTAAAAAAAATTGTTTTAGTGATCGCCTGCGACTTGCAAGGAATACTAATTTGTGATATTCATTAAAAACAGGATTTTCAGACCACTAGTTCCTTTTTTCACAAAATTAATGTTAAAGAAAAATAAAATCCGTACACACTTAAGGAAGTTCTTGAACCCAACTTGAAGTTGGGGAAGTTTTTGTTTTTAGCATTTAAATGGACAGGACATCAAGGAATAATCAACCTGTTTCACTAAAGTGGATTATCCTCGATTTCGGATTATCCATTTCAGATTTTTGTAAATATCTTAAACTTTATAGGAGGTGTAGTATTTCTAATTTTGGATTATAATAGAGTGAAGTATGCCTGAAATTTCTGTATACTTTAAACTTGTGCTTTTCGTTAACAAGTATAAATTATTCAATTTTCTAGCCAAATCTAGTAGATTAACTTCGATTTTTGCTATAATTCTCAAACCAAAAAAAATAAAAATTCTAAGCATATGTTAATTTAAGTAGCAAAGTACTCTAATTATATCACATATTAGATCTCTTAATAACCTTAAGTGTCTAGAGATATTTCCCAAAAAAAAAACTGAAGTGGATAATCCACTTTAGTGAGACAGGCCGAATGTGTTGTACGCTTTTAGAAAATGACAATGGTTTGAAGTTTCACAAAATATAATTTGCTAATGTATAGAGTGGAAGAAAAGGGGCAGTGCTCGTTACGTGCATTCAATTAAACTGTTAAAGCACAACCAGTATTGTTCTAATTGCATGCTCATAGAGAAAAAACTATTCATAAATCAATAAATCAAAATCTGTTTCTACGTAAAAAATTTAAGCAGGTTCCAGTTTAGATGGATACCCATGGATACTAAAGCTTTTTTGGTTTAAAAATAGGAAGATATCCGGATTATTGCAGTTTTGAGGAAACAGCAAAAAATTATTTTACTAATCCAAAAAAGACAACTGAACAGTTTAATATGTCTGGGTAATATCTAGAAACTTATTTGAAATTGTACATTCGTCTACTTAAAAAATGTCTCATTTGTTTTGAAGGTTATGTGTGTTTACGTTTTTATATGATTAATGCTGATCACTGTAATTTAATATTATTATCATAAACGCAGACGACCTTCAAATCAACACTGAATCAGACTATTAACACTAAGGAAGAACAGTGTAAAATATAAAAATAAAGGCATTAAACAGGCTATAAAAATTCTACATGTTTACTATATAGTATTCCTGACCTACCTAAATTTAATATACTGTCTCCTCTTCCAGTAATGGGCAGAATTAAAACTTTTCCGTCAACGATGTATTTTGAAGTGATTCTCAGCTTTGGAATTAGTGCATTAACTTCAAACTTAGATTTTGAGATATCTTTGTCAAAGCCACTGTTGATAGAAGAAATGACCATTACTTCATTATTTCAAAAAAAAAATCACACATACACTACTCTATAGATGTTTGCATTTGAAATTCCATAAATATCTGCGTCATGAAGAACAAGATTTATTGCGATGTTGCTTGTTGTATCTTGTATGATGTCAACCTTTGCCACTCTTAGAGGCTCAAACGATGGTAAATTAATTTCACTAATTCCATCTTTTCCTAATTTCAATACTTGATTAAATGCTTTTGTGATACATTCTACTTCTCCATAATGACAACGTGGGAAGCTGCTTGCTGTAATGTTTAGAAGAACTTTTAAGTACCTAAAATTTTAATTATCAACTAGCTTTTAAGTTGAAAAAATTTTCTGATTAAAATCTTGGTTCTATGTTAGGGAAGTGTTTGAGTTGTCAGGAACCTTTTTCAACTATTTTGATGCACAAATTTTTATAAATCACGTTTTAAATAATGAGCATCTTAAAATCTTTTACTGAGGAAATCAAGTAAACTCTAGAAATTCTTTCAAAACTACCACTTTCTAAGAATAACTTATAAGAGCCATAGGTGTAGATTTCAACACTTAAATAGGCTGACCATTTGCTTGGTTTTTCAGAGGACAGTCATTATTTTTCAAAAATAAAATAGTTTTGATTTGTTCTAATTCGTCCAGAAAATGAATAAAATTAATAGACACTTGGGATGTCCTCTATTTAACTTTCAGGTCCTGTATTTTTTCAAAAAATATCTGGTCATCGAGTTGAATTTATTTCATTAATTTCTTGAAAAAATTTTCAGAATAAATTTTGAATAATTTGGCAGACACTGTGATATTCACTTAATTGAAACTCAATATGGCACTAAAAAATTATGCATCAGTCTCTTTTATTTATAAAACTTTGAAACTTAATTTTTTTTTTTTGTTTTCTGGATAAAATATAATTTTTTTTAATTATTTCAATTTCATTTAAAAAAATTATTAATCCATCTCCAATATCACTTACGATATAATGCACAAAACCCAGCACCACTAATTGCCAATAATATTGAACCGAACAGAAAATTTCTCATTCCAATAATTTATTGTCTTTACCACGCACTGACTGACTTTCTTTATCCAGCGAGTAACGAAATAAAACTTAGAATGTTCTCTCAATTTACTTCGGCTTTTATAGATTTTCGTGGAGCCAAGAATTGTACGAAATCCAATTAATACTTATTATTCTTATGCTAATTATCTGTTCTCATCAAATTCGGCATTAAACGCGAGATGTTTTTTTTTCTGTTTGTGTAATTCTCTGATGTTGTTTGCCCTATGGATACACAATTTTCGCATGTCTCTCTCGGTAATCACTCCATAAATTGGTAAGGAACTGCTAATAAAACAAAATTGTTGCATGATTTGAACGTTATGACGTATATTAAATAATTATCAAATTGGCTTCTATCATGATGTTGGGATTTTTATATTCATACCGTATTTTTAGCGGAAACAAAGCAGAATGACTAAAATTATTCACAGTACAAAAGTTTGTGCCTGAAAATTTGCGTCTTCTAAAAAACAGAATTCATATTGGTTGGGGCATTGCCGAGAAAATCGCAAAATACGATTTCTGATTAGCAAGCAAGTCAATCAGCAAGAAATCTCAATAACAGGGCATCGTAGGGATTTTAAATTTTTTGCATTTGATCCGTGCTGATTTATAGAAGAGTTGTTTTGTTTTTGGGCAAGGTAGGAACAGCCATTGCTTCAGAAAAATTAAAAAATCTTCCTTTCTTACGAATTTTGACTCAACTTACCTGTTAAGCTTTAAATCTTTAAACAAAGGCTCAGCAAAGCTTAGTCTAACGATGAAACTTTCGATAGTACGGTGTGAATATATCCGCATTGGGTTTCTATTAAAGGTTAATATATATATAAGGATTCTAATTGGCTGGTAAGACTGGAAATTTGAAAAAAAAAAACGAAATTTTGTGACAAAGGAGGAAGGGAAGTTAAAAAAATATTTTTTTTGGGTTGCATATTTTTTTTTATTATTTAAATTGATTCTTTGTTGTATTATAGTCATTATAGTTCAAAACTGTTTAATACATTAGATTAATATTATTTATGGATAGTGAATTTAATTTTTCATGCATCATACCACAATTGCTTTATATATAAATGTTCTCTTAAGCGTAATAAGTATACGGACCATATAAAATAGTTTTACAATTACATCTGCAATATCACTTATTTCCTAGACATGCAATTTGAAGGCTCTAATCGATTATATTCTGTTTGCAATTTCTTCTTTTAGATTTGGGTCCATTTCAGCACATCCAAGAAAGAAATTCTGGCGACAAGCATTAACAATCGATAAGACAGTCGAGCGATTTTATATAGGACATAATACCATCTGATCTGGTCTTGCAACTGATATAGTTAATGAAATGTTTTTAATTTGGCTTTTATTAATTGAAAAAATAAAGGAATTAATCGTTGTAAGAATTAAAAACTAAGTTTACGAATGTGTTCATCCATGAAAATATTTTAAATCATAAATAATTAATTAATCATAAATCAAATAATAATAATAATGCAACAAACTGCCGTTCTAATTTAACATTGAAAAAAATTTACATGCCATTCATGAAAAACAAAATAAACTTGTGCACTGGACTTCTACAAAGTTCATTTAAAATCTCGAGTCTAATATCTTAAACTTCATGATTTCATACTTCCATGATTAAGCTTAGAATTTTTTAAAATGTTGCCTGCAGCTAATTCAGGTAGTAAGATTGTCTAATTGAAGATTTTTCTTACCTCTTTATGAATCTTAGTGTCTGAACCTAATTCAAACTTATAATCTTAATTAAACTTAAGAGACATCGTGATGGTAAAGAGTGAACATGTGATGGATAGAGTCATCGAAAGCTGTTTTAAACAACTCATTAATACGATACTTTATCATAATCATTGCTAAAGTTCATAAAAGCTTTACAAATAGCAATAAAAATAATTATATGCTACACAGAACTCTCTGCCTATGAGCGCGGAATATGATTCTGTCTATTTATTTATTATCTGATTCAAATGATACTTGTTGTTGCATATAAAAGCATTCAAATGATTTAAAAAACCTTTCAGTCTTTTCCAACACTTCTTGCAATATTCAACAGCTATAAACATTCATATTTTATTGATATTTTGGATATGCAGCAAGGAAAAAGTCATTTAATTAATCACAAAATGTTTTAAATAAATATAAAATGATCACGTTTTGTTGCTGATTTCATAAAGTCTGTTTCATCATTTTAGTAGTCATCTGATTGTGTCTGTGTGCATATCGTATTATCTAGAGCTGGACTTTAAATTCGCAAAATTATCGCAAATTTAAAATAAATCATTACTGTTGTCAAAGTGGATAAAATAACTTTTTTGTGTATCAAGCTTGTGCGCCTTAAAAAATGATGACGTTAAGGCATATAATAATTTTAATCATTTGCTGTACTGCTGCATTTTGCGAAAAAAGTGAAAAACCCAATATTATTATAATTGTTGCTGATGATCTCGGATTTAATGACGTGAGCTTTCATGGCAGTTTAGAAATTCCAACACCAAACATTGACTCGCTTTGTTATAATGGAGTTATTCTTAACAGGTTTGCTTCTAAAAGTGATAGTGATATGTCTGTCCATTTACTTAATTCTTGTATTATTTTTTTTATATTTAGAATGTATACAGCTCCACTTTGTTCTCCATCAAGAGCGTCCTTGATCACTGGAAAGAATAGCATAAAGCTTGGTAAAATAATTATGATTGTTTCACTTCCATTTCAATTTACTCCTTATATTAATACAGGAATGCAACATTATGTAATACCGTCTGATGAACCTTGGGCACTTCCATTGAATGAAAAACTCATCTCGAACTACTTTCAAGATGCAGGTTACAGGACAGCATTAATTGGAAAATGGCATTTAGGATTTTATAAGCAGCAATTTACTCCCAACTTTAGAGGATTTTCAGACTTTTTTGGATATTTGGGACCATATATTGGATACTATGATCATTCCTTAATTATGCTTGATCGAAACTATTCAAGAGGTTATGACATGCGACGAAATACTGAACCAGAAAATAGAACGGGAACTTATGCTACAGATTTATTTACAAATGAAGCTGTAGACTTGATAACGAATCATGATTCCGATACTCCATTATTTATGCTTTTGACACATTTAGCTCCACATACTGGTAATGAAGATAGACCAATGGAAGCACCCGAAGAAACCATTGTGAAATTCAGTTATATAAAGGAAGAAAAAAGAAGAACACTTGCAGCAATGGTGTCAAAATTGGATGAAGGAATAGGAAAAGTTGTTAAGGCTGTTCAAGATAAAGGGATTTTAAACAATACAGTGATTCTATTCATGTCTGGTAAATATTTTTATGACTGTAACGATTTTGACATTTTGTTCATTTTTAAATGCTCTGTTAATAGATAACGGCGGTCCTTCCTTTGGTATTCACTCAACAGAAAGTAGCAACTATCCATTAAGAGGTCAAAAAGGAGGTGTGTGGGAAGGAGCTTGTAGAGTCCCAGCATGTATTTACAGTCCATTGATTCAATCAAATAGAAGAATTAGTAATGAATTTATGCATATAACTGATATTCTTCCCACAATGGCTTCAATTGCGAATATATCAATTACTGATAAATCACTGGATGGTATCAATCAATGGAAAACTATATCAGAGATGAAGCCAACAGAAAGGAATGAAATTTTATATCAAATCGAATCAGTTCTTGGCTTTAGTGGATTGATGATCAATGGATGGAAGCTTGTAAATGGTAGTGAGAATCTCAATTTTTCTGGATGGCTTGGTGGATCCGGAGATTATATGGAAACAAGTTTTGAAGAGTATATTAACATGATAGAACAGTCAATTGCTTTTAAAAGTCTTCCAAAGATGGAATCTGAAATTATTAAGGAACTGATGAAAAAGGCGTCAACAATGTGTAACAAAAACACTCCAGTCACAAAATGTGATCCAAAATCTTCGCCATGCTTATTTAATATTATTGATGATCCATGTGAAATGAACAATCTTGCTGAGTCATATCCCGAAAAAGTTGATTTTTTGCTTGCTGGTTTAAAAAGATATTCCGAAGTCATGCTTCCATCAATACGTAAATTCTCTGACCCATTGTGTGATCCTAAGAATTTTAACAATACATGGAACTGGTGGAGAAAAGATGACGCAAATTATGATTTAGTTCCAGATGTCCGAGATAGCATTAACATGAAGATCATTCTTTGTATTATTGGACTGTCATTCATACTTACTGGATGCTTTGTATTATTTGAAATGATGAAGAGAAAAGAACAAGCCAGACTGAGAAATACAGAAAAATCAAATTGGAAACAAATGACGTCAGGCAGTAATTGATTACTGTATAATAAAATTTGAGGTTTCTTTGTAACGGAAAACGAAAGTGATGAAAAATAAATTTGATAATGAATTTTTGGCGAATGTGTGATAATTATATGTTTTGCATCTGTCCATTTGTTATTTTCACAATAGAGATGAAGTGTTAATGAGTAAACATTATTTTAAAATCTTTGTCATTGTGTAATTACATAAAATTGCTACAAAAACGATAGGAGCTAACAACATGTGTCGTGAGAAAAATACAAATAAATGTTCTTGCATGAAGATTATCGGATCTAAATAGATTTTTGTTTTAAATGTAAAATTTTGTGAGACAGGGGTGTAGCTTGGCTTTGACTCCCCCTTTTTCTCCCCTCCTTTTTGATTTTAGCGTTATATTGACAACAACATTCGACAGCATCAGACCATCTCTTCCCTAATCGTTGGTCATCATTTATTTATTACCACTCTCATACTTTGAAATGCTAGTCATCCATACGATCTACAGGTAGCATATTATGCATGCAATTTCCTTGAAAGAGACAAAAAAATTGCCAATGTTGTCTGGCACAATTTGAATGTCAAATGATATCACAAAAAAAACAAGAACGTATTGATGACGTAGAAAATAACAAAAAAGAAATAAATCCAATAGTTACGATCACAGACAATGCAACAAGTCAAACATCTGTTGAATTTCATTGAGCACTTTTATTTGCCTACCTAGTTGAATGACACTGCTCTCCATAGCTACGACATTTATTTTGTTTTATAAATAATAAACAATTTGCTATTGTATAGGTATTTTGTCATTTTAATATATTTATAGGTAGAATTTTCAGGACTTTTTCAGTCTTTTTGAGGATATCACAAAACAAAGTCGTGATCTAATTTTATTTTGAAATTTGTTAATAAAATTAATATTTGTATTTTAAAGTCAAATTAGGCTTTTTGTGTGCCTTAATACACGGGACTAATATTGAATATACACTATAGTAAATATCGTTGTAGTAAATGCCTTAAAATTGAATTTTCTTTATCAATGGGTGTTACGTAATCGATCTAGTTTTAATCAAATTTCCTCTAAATTTGTCCTTACCTTGAGATATTCTTGGTAAATTTGACTAAAATTTAAGAAAATAAGTTTTTCAACTTTATTTTTCATAGCAAAAAAGCATTTTTGCAAAAAACTTTCAATTTTTCAATATGGCGTCTCAAGAATCGATCTTTGTCGTTGCATAATACTCAGCAATAAAGTGACGACATAGAACATTTTTGTGAATGAAATGTAAATCAAACAGTGATTTTGTGAATGAAAAGAAATTTTAATTATATTAACTGGTGCTTTAGATTGACTCTGGTTAATGATGATCAGTTTAATAGCTTAAAGAGCTTAGTTTTTTTAAAAAAAAATATTAGCTACAAACAAAATAAACCTTTGCAAAAGGAATTTGTAAGCAGACTGACTATCTAATTCAGTTTTAAAGGACTGTCGTCAGATGAAAAAAAAAAGCTGACATAACTATTGAAAATTTGATTTTGAACCGTTCAGACTTTGAATCTATCAGATTAGCTTTCTTTTTGAAAGGATTATTTGTTCCAAAATTGTCAACTTACTTCGGGTAGATTTAAGTTTCAAATTCAAAAACAATACCTTTAGAAGCATAAAACTCATAAGAAAACATCTAGTCAGCCTAAAAAAATTAAGCCAAAGTATAGAGATTTTTCCAAATAGATAGTCAATGACAAGTTCATACATCAATGATCATTCATTGACTGAAAAATTGGGTCATTTCTATGGATACGCATTGCTATGGAAATGTGCAACGTGATTACGGTTCTTGGTGATCGGTTGAAACTTTTAAATGTGTTTATAAAAAGCTCTTCACATATACAGTTAATAAAATCCACCTGTTGATCTACATCCTTACCAATACAAAGAATTTCTGGAATCTAATAATAATTGTTTTTTTTTATTTAAGATATAAAATCTAAATATGGAAGGTACACCACATGATGGACCGGATCTGCGGCTCGATTTTATGGGATCGTTCATACAGAAAACCTTAAAATTGAAGCCTGAAAAGTGGCAACGATTGTTAACATTTGAAGAACATAAAACAGTTATTAAAGATTTCTTAGATTTATCAAGCGAAATGGTTCTAGTCATACAATTCACTCAGTCCGCTCAATTATTGCCAACAATAAAATTCCCCTTGACCCAATTAAAAGCAAAAGGTGAGTTTGATATTCTAGACTAAAGCTTAATAGCTGAGATTGTTATATTCACACCGTTTTCACGTGTGAATCTATTGGTTTTGTTCAGATTGAAAAATCAGTTTTTCGCATTTTGTGAGAAAACAAAGCAAAATTGGTTATAAAAGGTCACAGAAGAAAAGTTTGTGCCTGAAATTTTACATCATTTTCAAAAAACAGATTTCAAATTGGTTGTGGCATTGCTAAGAAAATCGCAAATTACGCTTTCTGTAAGCAAACAAGCAAGCAAGTTAATCAGCAAGAAAACTCAATAACGAGGCATTGTAGAGACTTCTAGTTTTTAGCGCATTTTATCCGTGCTGCTCTATAGAAGAGCTGTATTGTTTTTGGGCAAGGTAGGAACAGCCGTTGCTTCAGAAAAAGCAAAAAACTTTCCTTTCTTACGAATTTTTCAAATTAAAAGTTCACTGTGATTTTTTTTATTTTAAATTAAACTTTGGATGAAAAAAATTTTTTTGAGCAAAGAACCAAGAAGGAAATACATTTTCAATTTTGGACTAGGGGCGACCCTAGTGCTTAAAACAAATACAAATAAAACATCCTAAAATTTTTTTGAGCAAAGAACCAAGAAGGAAATACATTTTCAATTTTGGACTAGGGCCGACCCTAGTCAAAATCAATTTTGTCACTTTTTTCTTCGAGGGTTTATCCAAATGGATTGAAACTTTGTATAAATGTTCAAGTGCTTAAAACAAATACAAATAAAACATCCTAAAATTTTTTTGAGCAAAGAACCAAGTAGGAAATACATTTTCAATTTTGGATTTGGGGCGACCCTAGTCAAAATCACTTTTTTCTTCGAGGGTTTATACAAATGGATTGAAACTTTGTATAAATGTTCAAGTGCTTAAAACAAATACAAATAAAACATCCTAAAATTTTTTTGAGCAAAGAACCAAGTAGGAAATACATTTTCAATTTTGGATTTGGGGCGACCCTAGTCAAAATCACTTTTTTCTTCGAGGGTTTATACAAATGGATTGAAACTTTGCATAAATATTTTAGTGCTTAAAACAATTACAAATAAAACATCCTAAAATTTTTTTGAGCAAAGAACCAAGAAGGAAATACATTTTCAATTTTGGATTAGGGACGACCCTAGTCAAAATCACTTTTTTCTTCGAGGGTTTATACAAATGGATTGAAACTTTGCATAAATATTTTAGTGCTTAAAACAATTGCAAATAAAACATCCTAAAAATTTTTTGAGCAAAGAACCAAGAAGGAAATACATTTTCAATTTTGGACTAGGGGCGACCCTAGTCAAAATCAATTTTGTCACTTTTTTCTTCGAGGGTTTATCCAAATGGATTGAAACTTTGTATAAATGTTCAAGTGCTTAAAACAAATACAAATAAAACATCCTAAAATTTTTTTGAGCAAAGAACCAAGTAGGAAATACATTTTCAATTTTGGATTAGGGACGACCCTAGTCAAAATCACTTTTTTCTTCGAGGGTTTATACAAATGGATTGAAACTTTGCATAAATATTTTAGTGCTTAAAACAAATACAAATAAAATATACTAAAAATTTTTTGAGCAAAGAACCAAGTAGGAAATACATTTTCAATTATGAACTTGGGACAGGTCTAGTCAAAATCTAGTTTTTCACTTTTTTTCTTCGAAGGTTTAACCAATTACAGTATAACTTTGTGTGAGTATACTAACATTTATACAAAACAGTTTTAAATATCTAAAGCAAGAAATGTATTCTATATGTCGTCAGACCCAAATTTTATAAATTTGGTTGTACATTCAAAAACAACATGACTTAAAATTTTGTCCAAAAAAATGATTTTTATTAGTTCAGAAATGTGTTACCTGAAGATTAGAATGCTCATACAAAGTTTTACTGTTTTTGGATTTATCCTCGAAAGGATTTAAGTGAAAAACGAGATTTTGACTAGACCTGTCCCAAATTCATAATTAAAAATGTATTTCTACTTGGTTCTTTGCTCAAAAAAATTTTAGGATGTTTTATTTGTTTTTGTTTTAAGCACTAAAATATTTATGCAAAGTTTCAATCCATTTGGATAAACCCTCGAAGAAAAAAGTGAGAAAATTGATTTTGACTAGGGTCGTCCCTAGTCCAAAATTGAAAATGTATTTTCTTCTTGGTTCTTTGCTCAAAAAAATTTTTGGGTGTTTTATTTGTATTTGTTTTAAGCACTTAAACATTTATACAAAGTTTCAATCCATTTGGATAAACCCTCGAAGAAAAAAGTGACAAAATTGATTTTGAGTAGGGTCGCCCCTAGTCCAAAATTGAAAATGTATTTCCTTCTTGGTTCTTTGCTCAAAACAATTTTGGGATGTTTTATTTGTATTTGTTTTAAGCACTAGAATATTTATGCAAAGTTTCAATCCATTTGGATAAACTTCGAAGAAAAAAGTGACAAAATTGATTTTGAGTAGGGTCGCCCCTAGTCCAAAATTGAAAATGTATTTCCTTCTTGGTTCTTTGCTCAAAACAATTTTAGGATGTTTTATTTGTATTTGTTTTAAGCACTAGAATATTTATGCAAAGTTTCAATCCATTTAGATAAACCTTCGAAGAAAAAAGTGACAAAATTGATTTTGACTAGGGTCGCCCCTAGTCCAAAATTGAAAATGTATTTCCTACTTGGTTCTTTGCTCAAAAAAATTTTAGGATGTTTTATTTGTATTTGTTTTAAGCACTAGAATATTTATGCAAAGTTTCAATCCATTTGGATAAACCCTCGAAGAAAAAAGTGACAAAATTGATTTTGACTAAGGTCGTCCCTAGTCCAAAATTGAAAATGTATTGTCTACTTGGTTCTTTGCTCAAAAAAATTTTAGAATCTTTTATTTGTATTTGTTTTAAGCACTAAAATATTTATGCAAAGTTTCAATCCATTTGTATAAACCCTCGAAGAAAAAAAGTGACAAAATTGATTTTGACTAGGGTCGCCCCTAGTCCAAAATTGAAAATGTATTTCCTTCTTGGTTCTTTGCTCAAAAAAATTTTAAGATGTTTTATTTGTATTTTTTTTAAGCACTAGAATATTTATGCAAAGTTTCAATCTATTTGGATAAACCCTCGAAGAAAAAAGTGAGAAAATTGATTTTGACTAGGGTCGCCCCTAGTCCAAAATTGAAAATGTATTTCCTACTTGGTTCTTTGCTCAAAAAAATTTTAGCATGTTTTATTTGTATTTGTTTTAAGCACTAGAATATTTATGCAAAGTTTCAATCCATTTGGATAAACCCTCGAAGAAAAAAGTGACAAAATTGATTTTGACTAAGGTCGTCCCTAGTCCAAAATTGAAAATGTATTGTCTACTTGGTTCTTTGCTCAAAAAAATTTTAGAATCTTTTATTTGTATTTGTTTTAAGCACTAAAATATTTATGCAAAGTTTCAATCCATTTGTATAAACCCTCGAAGAAAAAAAGTGACAAAATTGATTTTGACTAGGGTCGCCCCTAGTCCAAAATTGAAAATGTATTTCCTTCTTGGTTCTTTGCTCAAAACAATTTTGGGATGTTTTATTTGTATTTGTTTTAAGCACTAGAATATTTATGCAAAGTTTCAATCCATTTGGATAAACCCTCGAAGAAAAAAGTGAGAAAATTGATTTTGACTAGGGTCGCCCCTAGTCCAAAATTGAAAATGTATTTCCTACTTGGTTCTTTGCTCAAAAAAATTTTAGGATGTTTTATTTGTATTTGTTTTAAGCACTAGAATATTTATGCAAAGTTTCAATCCATTTGGATAAACCCTCGAAGAAAAAAGTGACAAAATTGATTTTGACTAAGGTCGTCCCTAGTCCAAAATTGAAAATGTATTGTCTACTTGGTTCTTTGCTCAAAAAAATTTTAGAATCTTTTATTTGTATTTGTTTTAAGCACTAAAATATTTATGCAAAGTTTCAATCCATTTGTATAAACCCTCGAAGAAAAAAAGTGACAAAATTGATTTTGACTAGGGTCGCCCCTAGTCCAAAATTGAAAATGTATTTCCTTCTTGGTTCTTTGCTCAAAAAAATTTTAAGATGTTTTATTTGTATTTTTTTTAAGCACTAGAATATTTATGCAAAGTTTTAATCCATTTGGATAAACCCTCGAAGAAAAAAGTGACAAAATTGATTTTGACTAGGGTCGCCCCTAGTCCAAAATTGAAAATGTATTTCCTTCTTGGTTCTTTGTCAAAAAAATTTTAGAATGTTTTATTTGTATTTGTTTTAAGCATTAGAATATTTATGCAAAGTTTTAATCCATTTGGATAAACCCTCGAAGAAAAAAAGTGACAAAATTGATTTTGACTAGGGTCGCCCCTAGTCCAAAATTGAAAATTGATTTTCTATGGTGTACTTTTGTCAAAAAAATTTTTTGGATGTTTTATTTGAATTGACATAATTCTGACATAAATCACATACCAATATTACTTTTTGTAATGCATAGCTTAAAAAAAACGAAATCTAAAATTTCGACCACCCCATCTGAATTTTGTTCATACTCTTCACTGTGGAAACCAAAAAAATAATTCTTTATCTTAAAACACTTGACAAAATAGCGACATAATTCAGGATTAATTACTTTTTAATAATATTTTAACATTTACGAGAAAATGTGGTTCAAATAAGTGTGAAGTATGGACGAGATTTGGACCAAAATCAGCTATACTGGTTCATAGTGTTCCCGAGGGTGACAAAATTCAAACTAAGTGTTTTTGTAGCTGACATAATTATGACATAAATTAGGTATATCTTTTGAACTGTGTCGATATGGGTCTCGGCCGTACTTCACGCCCACCTTCAAACTTATACTGATTAAATCTTGGTCTATCCATAAGACTTTTGATGGTTCGGTGTGAATATATCCGCATTGGGTTTCTACCCGATACACCAGTTTATAAATATTTCTAGGTGTCTACTTCGTTAAGCGACTTCCAATTGAAGTTCCGCGAGAAGACTGTGCATTTTGGCTAATTAGTGGAGATTTAGCAACACGTTCGATAGATCAACTATCATGTCTTGTAGATGAAATTTTTGTTCCTTTATTATCTAACACTGATAACCATAAAGGGTGGCCAGAAATGTAAGTATAAGATGCTGGAATTTTAAGAAGATAAACATTCTAGAATAAATAACTGTTTACATTCTCAGGGTCGCTCAAGATGTCTTAAAGCACGTAAGTATATTATTTATTCATCATCAAGGTCAATATTACAATGAATATACTTATTTCAATAGACTCACAGTTTGAAGAGCACAGTCTATCAGGTGAATAAATTTCTTACTTCTTTCACTTCCATTAGCATCCACTAAAGAGAATAATATACAGTAGCGTCCAAAAAGATAGACTCACCCTTGTATCAAGAGGTTTTTTAATCATAAAATGAGTTCTACTCAACCGATTTTAATAATTTTTTCAGTGTTTGAATTGGAATTTAAAATCAAAACAGATAATATGTTACTTCATACTCAAATTTTGTTAATTATAGTAGAATTTTTTTTTTAATTTGACAACGTTCAAAAAGATAGACTCACCAGATTAATAAAATATTTTCTAATGAATTAAGAACTTTTATGTACTAATTATGATTTTAATCGATAGATTTAATGTTTCTAAAGATATGTTGACAAAAAAAATTATGCTTCAACATATTTATGCTCCACAAATAGCATAAATTTTACTTGATGATTTCTCAAAGTTTTTATCAAATTTCTTGAATACTAGTCGACTTTTATTAAATGTTTTTATACTTATTAATAGCATTTCTAATGATCTTTTCAACGATGTATAAAATATAGCTAAATCATTAAACGTTATAAAGAAATTAACAAAAATGTTCCCAAAAATTAAATATGGCGACTCCATAGAAATGAAAAATTGAAATTTTTCGAAGTTATAGAAATAAATTCAATATCTTTTAGACTTTTTTGATTGATTCATAACTATCAATTAATTTTATCAAGAGTTTTGTAAACTTAGATCCATTTCCAGGAAAATATTAATAGTGTAATATGGTCATCTCAAAGAAACTGTTTCATACAAAAAATAATTTTAATAATTTTTGATTTTTTTGCAATTTGATATCTTAAAAAATACTTAAATTGATGTTTTATAACAAAATTTATTAAAGCCATGTAGTTTTTGTAGTCTAAAGTGAATAGAAACAAAAAAAATTAAAATTATTTTTTGTATGAAACAGTTTCTTTGAGATGACCATATTACACTATTAATATTTTCCCGGAAATGGATCTAAGTTTACAAAACTCTTGATAAAATTAATTGATAGTTATGAATCAATCAAAAAAAGTCTAAAAGGTATGGAATTTATGGCTATAACTTCGAAAAATTTCAATTTTTCATTTCTATGGAGCCGCCATATTGCAATATGGGCCAGAAATCGAAAACTTTTCCGAAAATTATTTTTTTGGTCTAAATGATAGCTCTTTCATTCCCATTCATGAAAATACATACAAAAGTGGCCAATTCAGCCAAAGTTCCGAGATAAGGCATTTCAAAGTTTTGATTAAGAGCATTTTCTCGCCCCACAAAAATTGTCACTCCTTTTCATTGGATTAATGAAACTCTTTCAATCTTTTTTTATTTGGTAGCTTTAAATAAGAGCTTTATTTTAAGATAGTAAACATTTAAGTATGCATCTTTTAACTTTATGAATTTTACGGTTTTTTCAAAAAAGCACGTGTTCAGTATGATTACGTTCGTCTAGGACTTCACTCTTAAAATAAATGATGCTGAATCTTTTTTTATATTGTAGATATAAACAAGATCTACAACTTTTATGAAGATACTATTTTTAGTTTTAGTAGAGTTTTGCTGATGAAATTAAGTCTTTTCTTCAAAAAAAAACTGCAATTTTTGGACATAAATTCCCATAACTTTTCAGGATAGCCAACAGGAGTGGAATTTTTTTACATGCTTTGAAAGCTCTTTGGATATACTATCAGAATATATAATCAGCTGGAGTTCGGCTACTGAGACAATCTCGAGCAATTTGACTTTGAAGTGTGACCAGAAATACATTTCAAAACAAAAAAATTGAAAATAAATTTTGTACGTTTTTCAAAATTTTAGTTTTTTGCTTTAGAACAATAGATCTCATCAAGGCGCACATTTTGAGTATAAATATGTCATAGTTTGAACAATTTTTTTGCTCAAATTTCAACAAAATCATTTTTATACATTTTTTCAACAAATTTTACTTATTTTTCAATTATTTTAAATCAAAACTTATTTTAAATCTTCATATTTTGATATTTTTTGAAATTTCTATGTTTTTATGTTAAAATGTCACTCCTAGACCAACAATTTATAAAAAAAATTTTACTTTAAAGTAATTTTTTTATAATTTTTTGCAAATTACACTCATTTTTCTTATCTTTTTTTATCAAATTTTATTTTATAATAATTCTAAATAATGAAATTTAATGTAATATGCATAAAATTACTCTTAAATATTTAAAGATCATATTTTATCCAATTAACATATGAATAAAGCTGGAATGAGCAAAGCTTTGATATGTTCCTTTAATCTGAAGGTAATTCTCCTTTCAATTCAGAACATATAAGCATCTAATCAACTATTTTTAAAAAATTTCGGTATATATATTTATTTCCATACAATTGTAAAGCATAAACTATCACCTGAAACTCGTTTTTGCTGACCTATGTCACTATTTCAGAAGTGGATTCCGGCCTTCCAGGTCCGGAAGTTGAAGGCTCAATATTTATAATCTGACTGGACTCACTAATGGTGACTGGAATTTACCAGCATGAAATATATAAAGTATATATACAAAAGTTTGAAAAGTTTGCAGCGTTTCGAAATTTATCAAAACAAAACCATGGTTCTTGAATCTATTTTTGTCTATATATAAGTATTTAAGTGCCTCGCTGGTCAAATTAGTAAGGCGCTTGGCTCAAATTTGGTATGGTAACTCGAAGGTCGTTGGTTCCAATCCAGCCATTTCCAAATGTGTTCTTTTTCAGAAGTTTAGATACTTCGACTGCTTAATGTACGAGATCAAGCCATGAGATATTTGGCAACGTTGCATTAAGGAACGGATGAGAAACTTGGAGTGTAGCGGGAGAAATAGGAACGAGAGCTACAAGATTACCTTATAATGATAAATTGTCAGAACGGATCTGAAATGTATCACGTTGCGTCCACAGATCAGTAAAAAAGTATATGCAAAGACAAAAATTGGAAAAATCAATGAAATATGATAAAAAAAAAACTAAAGGGAACCATTCAACATTGGATAAAAATAGTCACAATAAATTTGATAGATTGGAAAAAGGTTGATAGCCTTTTCCTTTTTAAAAACTATTTTCATTGTATATTTAATTCCTTAATTTTAATAATTCGTGGTGATAGTTTATGCTTTACAATTGTATGGAAATAAATATATATACCGAAATTTTTTAAAAATAGTTGATTAGATGCTTATATGTTCTGAATTGAAAGGAGAATTACCTTCAGATTAAAGGAACATATCAAAGCTTTGCTCATTCCAGCTTTATTCATATGTTAATTGGATAAAATATGATCTTTAAATATTTAAGAGTAATTTTATGCATATTACATTAAATTTCATTATTTAGAATTATTATAAAATAAAATTTGATAAAAAAAGATAAGAAAAATGAGTGTAATTTGCAAAAAATTATAAAAAAATTACTTTAAAGTAAAAATTTTTTTATAAATTGTTGGTCTAGGAGTGACATTTTAACATAAAAACATAGAAATTTCAAAAAATATCAAAATATGAAGATTTAAAATAAGTTTTGATTTAAAATAATTGAAAAATAAGTAAAATTTGTTGAAAAAATGTATAAAAATGATTTTGTTGAAATTTGAGCAAAAAAATTGTTCAAACTATGACATATTTATACTCAAAAACTGGCTATCCTGAAAAGTTATGGGAATTTATGTCCAAAAATTGCAGTTTTTTTTTGAAGAAAAGACTTAATTTCATCAGCAAAACTCTACTAAAACTAAAAATAGTATCTTCATAAAAGTTGTAGATCTTGTTTATATCTACAATATAAAAAAAGATTCAGCATCATTTATTTTAAGAGTGAAGTCCTAGACGAACGTAATCATACTGAACACGTGCTTTTTTGAAAAAACCGTAAAATTCATAAAGTTAAAAGATGCATACTTAAATGTTTACTATCTTAAAATAAAGCTCTTATTTAAAGCTACCAAATAAAAAAAGATTGAAAGAGTTTCATTAATCCAATGAAAAGGAGTGACAATTTTTGTGGGGCGAGAAAATGCTCTTAATCAAAACTTTGAAATGCCTTATCTCGGAACTTTGGCTGAATTGGCCACTTTTGTATGTATTTTCATGAATGGGAATGAAAGAGCTATCATTTAGACCAAAAAAATAATTTTCGGAAAAGTTTTCGATTTCTGGCCCATATTGCAATATGGCGGCTCCATAGAAATGAAAAATTGAAATTTTTCGAAGTTATAGCCATAAATTCCATACCTTTTAGACTTTTTTTGATTGATTCATAACTATCAATTAATTTTATCAAGAGTTTTGTAAACTTAGATCCATTTCCGGGAAAATATTAATAGTGTAATATGGTCATCTCAAAGAAACTGTTTCATACAAAAAATAATTTTAATTTTTTTTGTTTCTATTCACTTTAGACTACAAAAACTACATGGCTTTAATAAATTTTGTTATAAAACATCAATTTAAGTATTTTTTAAGATATCAAATTGCAAAAAAATCAAAAATTATTAAAATTATTTTTTGTATGAAACAGTTTCTTTGAGATGACCATATTACACTAATATTTTCCTGGAAATGGATCTAAGTTTACAAAACTCTTGATAAAATTAATTGATAGTTATGAATCAATCAAAAAAGTCTAAAAGATATTGAATTTATTTCTATAACTTCGAAAAATTTCAATTTTTCATTTCTATGGAGTCGCCATATTTAATTTTTGGGAACATTTTTGTTAATTTCTTTATAACGTTTAATGATTTAGCTATATTTTATACATCGTTGAAAAGATCATTAGAAATGCTATTAATAAGTATAAAAACATTTAATAAAAGTCGACTAGTATTCAAGAAATTTGATAAAAACTTTGAGAAATCATCAAGTAAAATTTATGCTATTTGTGGAGCATAAATATGTTGAAGCATAATTTTTTTTGTCAACATATCTTTAGAAACATTAAATCTATCGATTAAAATCATAATTAGTACATAAAAGTTCTTAATTCATTAGAAAATATTTTATTAATCTGGTGAGTCTATCTTTTTGAACGTTGTCAAATTAAAAAAAAATTCTACTATAATTAACAAAATTTGAGTATGAAGTAACATATTATCTGTTTTGATTTTAAATTCCAATTCAAACACTGAAAAAATTATTAAAATCGGTTGAGTAGAACTCATTTTATGATTAAAAAACCTCTTGATACAAGGGTGAGTCTATCTTTTTGGACGCTACTGTAATTTAAATAAAGGTTCAAGGGCAAGTATCTGGAAAAACAATTCTGCCAAAGCCCGTCGGAGTCGAGAAATGTGTAATAACAGCACGTGAACTGCAAACGAATGCAGAGTGCTCTGTTGATTTATACCTAAAATCTGCAATTGAAGGCGTAGTCATAAAATGGGTGACTCAAATTAATGATGTCTTTATGGAAACATCAGCAAGTGCATTCAACAATGGACAAAATCCGACTCCAGCTGTCGGTGAGTAATCCAACATTTAATCAGCTTTCTCATGTAGAACTTATGCTAGATATGAAAGTAATTTAATTATCAAGTAATTAGATATCAGATCATTTAGATTAGGAAATTTTTGCATTTAATTTTTTTGCTGCTTTATTTTTCAAAAGGCAATTTTCTCATATTTTCAATATTTTTCTTTAATTTTTTTTATTATACAAAGCGATAAAAATTATAAATTGATTGATTAGGTACTAAATTAATCAGTTAAATAATAAGTATACAGTAAATAAATGATAGATTTAAAACATAAATCTACAGATTAAATCATAATTATCCACATTGCATTAAAGTTTAGGAAATAAAGATCTCCTTCAACGATTTATTTTTTAATACATGCACATATTTAATTGAAAATTTTTAATTTCCTTGCAAATTTACTATTGTGCTTTAAGCACGTGCATTTCATTTTTTGTAAAATTTAAATCATTAATTAACTGTTAAAAATGCATCTTAAAGAAATTATGGAGAACGTTAATATTTTTTTTCAAGCTCATTTCTGCTCCGAAATGTTCCTCTTAAATCACTTAGTGGCCAAGTCACAAGAATCGTCCAAATTTCCAATTTAAATTGGATATCTGAATTGTATTTCTAATTACCTCGGAATGTGGGAATCTTTCTGTTCTAAGAAATTTCGATCAAAGTTTGAGTGAACATCTATTGAGCAAAAACTCAACAGAAATGAGCTTGAATTATCCACAAGTGGAATACAACTAAAGAATAATATTTCTGCTTGAACAATGAATGCATGGAACAAAGAAACTTCCGATACACTTGTAAATGTTTTTGATTCATTAACTTAACATTACAATAATTATAAAAGGTAATAATAATAATAATAAGTGAAAAACACTTAAATATTGTTTTTATTTACTTCATTAACATAAGAAACATACGTGGACCTATTGAGATAAACTAAAGTGTGTGCACAAGAATATTGTCTGTTTCCTTTAAAAATCATTGACAAATAATTTTAAGTACAAAAAATAAACAAAAATGATAATATTCGATATTAATCATAAATTAATTTTGGTGGGGTTGGTGTGTGGAAGAGATTAAAAGTTTGTGAGATGTCTACAAATAAGCATGCAAATTATTAAATTATAACTATAAAAATGATATGTGTGCCATCATTCAAAGACCTAAAAACAATGTGTTTGTGAAAGTGAATGGAAGTCAAATTTAGCCATTACCATTAAAAATGAAAAAAATATTGCACCAAATGAATTAATGTAGATGTACATGTTAATTGCAATTACTTTTATTACATTCTCAAAAAGCGAAATAAGCAACATTAAAGTACAATCTTCATAATGCAGACTATTGTGTTAATTTACATTATTTTATAGAAAAATAAATGATTTTTTAGTAATTTTCTTGATGTAGCAAATGATGATTTCATCATTATCAAGCTGCTGTTGTTATTTTTGTTTCTCACATGCCATGTAGTGGGTTATGCATATCCTCATACTAAGTTTTAAGCAAATCTACAATTGTTGTTCATTTTCCATTTTTTTTTCTTCTTCTTTTGCAAGAATAATTTAATTTTTTTAAAAGAACTAGCAAATGTCGTAAGTAGAATTAATAGCTTGTAGTCAGTAATAATTTTTATAGGTATGATAAATAAATATTATGTGATGTGAGAGAGAGGCTACTGATTATTAATGGATGATCTTTTATTTTTAGTTTCAAAGCATTTTGTTTATTTTTGGTAGCTCAAATTATACGACTTTTTATGATTTCGATAAACGACGGTTTGCATCTTCAATGCCTTCATACTGATCATTACCATCACCGCGAATATTTCGAGATCGTCGTTTATCATCACTCGCCAGTATTTGTGCCACTTTAGCTTGTTTCACTAAGTCTAGCGTCTGAAAAAGTTTAAAATATCAGAAATTTTTTTGTTTGGTGTAGTTTCAGTTGTAGGATTAGAATTATTATTCGGATTTATTACTTCTCGCTTCGATCGCATCGCACAGTCCTCCAGTGTCTCGGCTGCTTCGTACTTTCCTTGACGTCTATAGAGCGCTCCCAAATTCTTCAAAGTTGTTGTCACTGTCGGTGAATCAACTTTTGCCGCCTTGTGCCATCCACCATACTCGCCGTACGGAGTATTTTCCCTATTGCGATGCTTATTTTCTTCTCGTTCCTCCGCAACCTTAGTTTAAAATTGAAATTTATCATCTTTTGTTTTCATTCGAACACTTTTTTTTTCTCATAATAATTTACTCAGCAATAAACAAAATCATAAAAACAATATCAGAGAAATATTCCGGAGTGTGCCAATAGAAATTCAGCACACACCAGGATTAACTTAAAAATAAAAGCTAATAATCAACTGACTACAAAATAAAATGAAAAAAGAACAAAAAAAAGTCTTTCAAAAACTGCCTTCTTCTTGACTGATTCTGTGCCTATACTTGGTAAAGCAAAATGAACAACGTTTCCATTTTAATGCACTCAATGGCTATCACTTTCAAAAAAAAATTATTTGTGGGAAAAGGATGGAACGATTCGCCAATTTCAATTTAATTTGAGCTACTTCATAAATTACGATGACAAGTTTCGAGGTCAAAAATTTAATGAATTAATATTTTTTTTTGTCAAGAATGTCCATTACCAATGTGTGATAAACAAAACAACCAAAACACAAGAAAAAAAAGAAGCAACTATTAAACAGCGCAATTTATGAGTTATGCCCCAATTGATATTGTCATTTATAATTTTATGTAATAAAAGGTATGAAATCCAGCATAAGGATAGAACACACATCATATGTATTCACAAGGTACAACCATTATCGTGCTTGTAGCTAATTTTGGAAGATACAATATGAATATTTCAAAACACACATGTAGTGCAGTCATGCAATTTTCTCTCATCATCAGATCTAACTTTGTAAATGATTGATTAAAACGGAAACGTAGTGCATGTATTGAAGTTTGGCTTTTTATAATTTATACAAAAATGTCTTTTTTTTTTTAAATAATTACTTAAATTATTTTTCAATCACTCTTTTACGTACCTGCCAAATTGGCTTATTATCATTATCAATAGTGCCAAATTCTCGTTCATGAGCACGCGTCAACACTTGTTTGTATAAAATCTCTGCCTCTTTATATTTTCCTTGCTTCAAGTAACAACTTGCCAAATTATTTTTTGTTTTTGCTACATTTGGATCGTCGGGACCCAACTTATTCTCATAAATTTCTAATGCCCTTTGATAATATAATTCGACTTCTTCATATTTGCCCTAATCCAAAAAATAAGAAAAAGAGATTAGTCATTTTTCTGTTATTTTATGAGTCATAAAATAATGGTACCTGATTCTGACACAGCAATGCCAAGTTATTTAATTGTTTTGCAACATCTGGATGATCTTTACCCAAAACCTTTTCACGAATTTCAAGTGCACGTTTACATAAAGGTTCAGCGTCCTTGTATTTCCCACGCTTTCCATATAAAACTGCTAAATTATTTAATGTCGCAGCGACAGCTGGATGATTTTCTCCCAACGTTTTCTCACGTATGGTAAGAGCATCATTCAATAAATTAGCAGCTTCCTTATATTTATTCTAAAAGAAAATGATTATATGATTAAAAGTTATTAAGTTATTGTCTAGACTTGTCATTTAATAATTCATACTTGATCACGATAAACTAAAGCAAGAATATTTAACATTGTTGCAACATCTGGATGATCATGTCCACTAGTTTTCTCTAAATCTTCAAGGGCTTGCTTACAAAGAGGCACTGCCACTTCATATCGTCCTTGTGATGCATATTGAATTACAAGATTGTGCAATGTTCGTAAACGTGCTGGAATTTCGTAACCTGCATTTGCTTGGTTCGCAAATTGACTTGGAGGCGTAGGTGACAAATTATTTCTCTCTTCTTGTTCATCTTCTGGAAAAAGTTCGACGACAGGATCAGATCGAGACTTTTCATTTTCATTGCTTTCATCCTGATTATCATCATATTTTCTAACTGATTGCATAAAATCTAAATGCTTCTTTTCCTCCTCTAATTGTGCCACCATCTGCTCAGATGTCTGAAGTTTTTGTTGCGTATTTGCTAGCTCATCTCTAAGCCATGCATTTTCTTGACAAAGTCGCCGAACTTGTGTTCTCAATTTCTGTTTCTCTGCTTCAATATTTTGTAAATGTGACGCTAACACTACAATGACCTGAAATGCGTATGCATAAAAGGTACACAATAAGTAATTAAGCAACAAAAATAATCATAAAAGGATGACCATAAAATGAGACATACCTGAGCTTCACCCAAACCCAATTCAATATTTTCAATATTCTTCTGTATTATGTCTATCTTATCGGGATCTTTTTTTCCTTCTGTCAGGCCAGACATAATTGACATGTGCTCATGTCGAAGAGCTTCAAGACCCTGCAAAACGGTCTTTGTATTCGTCACAATCTCCTCTTGTGTCATTTGAGTCATTTTGCCAATATTTTCAATTTTCTTCCTATTATCATCAACAAAAAAAAAAGAGAGAAAAAAGAATGAAGACGGAAATGAGAAAATGATCACACAGTACGAGTCATAGAACAAAAGATTAATTTCTCGCCGTCACTGAATTATGTTTTTGTGAGATCAATATTCATCATAACAACGGTTTTTTTTCGATAAATGAAAAGAAAACTTCCAATGCAACCATAAAAATACGTAGTATAATAAAAAAAGAACACAAGAATCGATAATTTTTTTTTCTTCAGCTTTTAGGTATAATTAAATTGGCGATGAATTCTTACACTCTATACTCTTTTAATATTTTGGACATATCAAATTCGTTATATATGTATGTGAATTAGATTATCTGCTTCCTACCGACCGTCTTATATATGTATGCTACTACGTTTTGCAAAGCCAATTAGAAAAATTATTGCTTAATAATAGCACAAGAAGCACTTTAGATTATAATACTATGGACGAAATATTTTCAGTAAACTTTATTGTAGACACCACGAATTATGTTGAGCCTCATTAATTTTATTTCATTTTTAAAATATCACAGAGTATCATCCTTATAAATGCATTATTTTTAATAGCTAAAGAAGGACTTAATTCCTCCAAAAATAATTGAAAAGTTTAAAAGTCAGACGACACAAATTTAACACTTTGTTGTATAAGCAAAAAAAAATCAATGAAAGTTTTATAATTCTGTTATTTTATGCGCATGCTCACTTAAAACGTTTTAATTATATCAAGAAATATGCTAAACCTGCTTATAATAACAGATAAGTCTTCATTTATACACAATATATAATTAAATTTCTTTTAAGCTCATTCACGATGATTCATTTCTCATTTTTCACGACTTGGTAATTTCACTTAATGCATTTTTCGTCAAAACTTTCATTTACTTACAAATCACAAAATTAGCCAAATATTTAAATCTTTTTTACACAAAACACAATTTATACTGACTTGTTACTAATATTATACGATTTTATCAAAGTTTTAATCAATAAAACTGGCTAAATATTAACAAAAATATTATTCATTTTCCAAAAGCCTTCTTTTAAGAAAATAATAAGATTCTTTTAAAGCATTGCCTTTTCTTGTTCGTTTTAAAGGGGTTCTAGTTCATTTCAAAAAATTAAAATAATCGGTAATAAAATATACTTACAACTCATATGCACCATCCACTATTTTATTCATTACCTACACATTTTTTTCTTCAATTAATTAATAGCTCTTAATTTAAACTATCGGATGCAATATTGATTCATGAATTTAATTCCTTTCTTACAGAGATTAATTTTTGGAATAACCGTTTGAAAAATCTCACGTGAGTATTAAATTTTACATGTCCAAATTGCTACTGGCAAATAAACTTTTGCCTAGCTTGTGAAACTTTCTGATTAAATCAGGTAGTTCAGTTTATCTAAATCTTACACTTTTAAAACTAGTAAACCTCGCGTTAAACGATTGCCTTACTTATATTTTTACAGATATATTTATGAGCAACTTAGAAATGAACAAATTAAAAGCATGGCACTTATTTTAGAGGTAACAAATTTTTGCCTTAATTGTATCCATCCTGTGTTCTCGATTTCTTCCTATTCTTTCAGCACACCGATTCAGCATATTTTCCTTGTTTTAAGTCTATGTTTAAAAATGTAGTAACAGCTTTGGCTGAAGCACGTGATATAACATTATATTTAAGCCCCCTTATGAAACACTTTTTACAGTTTGAAGATACTGATTTTTCGGAAAGTAAACCATTATTGAAGCCTCTGATGCATGTCGTTTGTTTGGTAAGGTTCAAAATAAAATTTTTTTAATGAAAAAGTCAACTATAATTTTTATCCAATAGTTATGGGCCAATTCAAACTATTATCGCACATCTGCAAAATTAATTGTTCTTCTTAAGCAAATTTGTAACATGATTATACATCAAGCAAAGAGATTTTTAGATCCTTCATCAATTTTTCATAGTGACATTGATGAAGCCATGCAACGTATATCACAAACTATTAAAATCCTTAAATATTTTCGCACTGTTTTTGATGAATATAAAGAAAATTTATCTCCATTTTTTGGCGAACGTCAAGGTTTGCAGCAGTATTAAATAGAGACCTGAATCTTTTTGTTAACCAAATTTAAAAAATTTCAGTTCAACAGTGGACCTTCCATCCGAATGCCGTTTTCGAACGTTTTAATTCATTTTTGGATCGACTGCATACAATACAGTGGTTTTTCTATACAGTCATTGAATTTTTGAAGCTGGAAAAGGTTGAAATAGGAGGACTTAAAGGACGAATTCTTAGTGCAAGAATATCAGCCGTTTCATTAGAATTCAATCAATGTTTCTCGTCATTCGCTTCAAAAACTTATGATGTCCTAGATCCAGACGATGAAAGCTTTAAAGGAGATTTTTTAAAGTTTCAGGAAAGGATTTTGGAACTTGACATGAAACTAGCTGTAATTGATTGAACATTTCTGAAAACTAGTGTATCGGATAGTAACCCAATGTGGATATATTCACATCGTGTCAAAATTCTTGTTAATTGGCCAAGCTTTGTTCAGCATGTGTTTAAAGATTTAAAGCTTAATGGATGTTCCAAACATTCTTAAAATTTTTTTCATTCGAAGTTTAATATTAAAAAAATCAAATTAACCCTTTTTTAATGAAAAATCCTAAGAAACAAAGGTTTTTGGATTTTTTGAAGCAACGGCTGTTCTTACCTTTCCCAAAAACCACACAAGCTCTTCTATAAGGCTACACAGTTCAAATGTAAAAAACTATAAGTTTCTATGATGTCTAGTTATTGGTTTTTTTTTTGTAGATTAACTTGCTTGCTCTCAGAAAACGTACTTTGTGAATTCTTTAGCAATGCCTAAACCAATTTTAGCCAAAAACTTTTCTTTCTTAGACATTTTCAACTGTGTTGCTTAATTTCCTCACAAAATCCGAAAAACTATTGCTTAAATCTGAAAAAACACAAAAGATTCACACGTGAAAACGACATAAAATTAATTCTAATTTTGGTTCAATGATTTTTCAGGCTATTTTGTGTCAAGCATTTGATGACAGTCACAACTTAGAGAGCGTGTTTAAACTAATATCTATAGTTGGAACTGTTTTGGGTAATTTTTATAGAGCTTGAGTTTGAAAATATTTATTAAATCTTTAAAATAATTCGACAGAGCGTCCAAAAATTAAAGAAGAATTCACATACAAATATCAGCAAATCTTAATCATGTTAGATGATGAAATGTAAGTCACAAATGTCATTAATAGTAAGAAAGTCTATAAAACAAGATTTCTTTACAGAACAATTTGTGAATCAATTTATGATAAGCAAATAACATCGTATCGTGCAAGAGGATGTATAAATGTAGAACTTCGAGCACCACCAGTAGCTTCAGCACTGAGATGGGTTCATCAAATATCTTCACGAATAGCAACTCCAATTAAGAGTTTTCAAGCACTTCAACATCCTATTGTACAAACTGAAGATGCACAAATGTTACTTTTACGTTTTAACAATTTGATGGGTAAATTAAGGAAGTTCGAAAAGGATATTTTTGAAAAGTGGTCCGAGAATGTATCCCAACAAATTGAAAAAAATTTAAAGAAATCACTTTTGGCTAGAGTCGAAAACTGTAAACTTATCACTTTAAATTTTGATCCAGAGCTGTCAGCTATTTTAAGAGAAGTTCATTACTTAAGGCTAATGCATAAAAGTGATGTTCCTAGATGTGCAATTGCTTTTTCCGAAGAACAAGAAACTTATAGAGGCTACATCTTAAATTTGGAAAAAAGTGTTGAGTGGTACAATAACGTAAGTAATTTTGTATTATCAGACAATGACATGCTTAATTTGAAATCATTTTAAATCTTTAGATTTGTCGAAATTGCTCAGCAGTTGAAATCAGATTGATTCAAGCTGAAATAGATTTGTCAGATAAATTTGTCGAAAAAGGCTGTTCAGAATTGAATTGGAATTCTGAAAACATAACTGAATATATGCATGATTTAAGAGCACCCGTAGAATGTTTGCACTCTAGAATGGTTCAGATACAAAGTAATTTAAATGAAATTAAAGATGTCATGACATCGTGGGCAAAAGCTCCATTATTTGTAAGAAAAGATGGAAAGAAAGAAGCAACTTTATGTGTTGAGGAACGGCAGGAGAGAACAAATAAGCGGTACACAGAAATACGAAATGTTGCTGTTCGAGTTCATGAGTAATAAGTCAATTCCTTTAATTTTCAAATAATTCATTAATTATAATTTTATACTTAAAAGATTATTGGAAGAAAATCTAAGGCTGTTTAGAATGGAAGGGAAAATGAATGAAGATTGTTGGGAAGATTATATAGCATATTGCGATGAGATTATTTTAAAGAATCTGTTACATACCATCGGTGTAAGCATTGCATATATTGCTGAAAATATGGAACCAGAAAATAACTGTCCACCATTGTTTGAGTCAAGACTTGAATTAGAAATTCCAAGGATGATTTTTATTCCATCATTAAATCCAAATGACAGCAACTGTTTTAGCATTTTGCTTCATAATTTAGTCAATGGTTTGTCTAAAACAAATTTTTATTATCCCTCAATCAATTCCTTTTTTCTAGATATTCTTCATATGGCGAGCCTGATACCACGTTTGAGAAAAGATGTTTCTGAGACTTATGAAGATGTCATTATGAATGATCACGATGTAAAAGAAATGAAACAAGAAATTTTGTTGAGTGTCGAAAGAGCTGTAGAAGAAGCAACACAATTTTGTGGAGATTTCGAAAGATATTCTTATTTGTGGCTTGAAGATAGAGAATACTGTATGGAACTGTTCTTGGAATATGGAAGAATTTTAGATCCTGATGAAATTGATATGGTCATTAATAATGATTCACAAGCTCCAAAACCGTGTCCACCTACAATTGAAGCTTTCCGAGAAATGATCGATGGTTATGAATCTTTGCATACAGAAATTGAAGCAATTCAGCCTGTTCAAGTTTTTAATGGATTCTTTCAAGTTGATGTTCGACCATTTAGGCAAGCACTAATAAATATTGTAAGAAAATGGGGAAATATGTTCCAAAATCATCTTGTCGATAACGTTACGAATAGCTTAACGAATTTAAGTAATTTCATACATAAAGCAGATCAAGGTCTTCTGCAAATTGTCAACGATTATGATACTTTAGTTTCCATCATGGCATTTTTATTGCAAGTTAAGGAACGTGGTGTTACAACTGATATAATGTTCGAACCAATGAAAGATACAATTGACTTGTTAAAGTTTTATGATATGGAAATTTCGGAAGAAGTAAATGTATTGTTACAAGAACTTCCAGAACAATGGAATAATACAAAGAAATTGGCTCAAACTGTCAAACAACAAGTTGCACCATTACAAGCAACAGAAGTAATAGCTATAAGGACTCGCATTGCTAATTTTGATGCACATATTGCTGTTTTTCGTGATATATTCAGAACATATGAATTCTTCAAATTTGATTGCGACAAGCCTTATGAACTTCTTGATAGAATAAGCGAAGATATATTTAGATTGGAGGGTGAAATGGCAGCAATAAATGATTCTGGAAGTTTATTTGAAGTAAATGTTCCAGAGTTTAAACTCTTAAGACAGTGCCGTCGTGAATTAAAAATGCTTAAGGTACAGACTACTTGATTTAATATATATATATATATATATATATATATATATATATATATATATATATATATAATTATTATACTTTGTGTATTTCAGCAACTCTGGGATTATGTCTACATTGTCCAGACATGCATAGAAGTAAGTAATAAAATTCAGTTCAAATAAATAGAGATTGGCATTATGGTATATATTTTAGGACTGGAAAACAACTCCATGGAGAAAAATTGATGTTGAGAATATGGACATTGAATGTAAAAAGTTTGCAAAAGATGTTCGTTTACTCGATAAGGAAATGCGTACTTGGGACACATATATCCAACTTGAAGCTACTGTAAAAAATATGCTTACTAGTTTAAGAGCTGTAGGAGAACTTCAAAATCCAGCTATTCGAGAACGTCATTGGCAT